AGGGACGATGCTTTTTGATGGCCAATTTGCCCGGAGATATGTAAAGCAGTCGTTCCTCACGGATGAAGAGGCCTCACGTGTCCTATGGAGGAAAACCGAAGACCTGGTATTATTCCATATGCGCCATACATCGTAAGTTCTGAACAAGGTCTGCGACGAGTTTCTTGTTCCGGAAGCTGCTAATACTGCTATCACAGTGTTTATGCCAGTACATTCACGCTGTCTACCGATGGCCATGGGGTCTTGGAGCTTTGGTGGCGAGAGAAGGAGCCAAAGATTCCACCAGTCCTCCTTGGTTGCCCGGGAATCGCATTGCGAGAAGTCTACGAACACCCTGCAAAAGACATCATTCCCGACTGCCACAACGCGGATTTTTTGAAACCAGGAAGTAAGCTTGTCTCCTTGTCTGGCCCGATATACCGCAACCCTGCACCATTTGGGACTCTTGGGTGCCTTCTCACCGTCGAGCGAGACGAGGCCAAGCAGCATGTAATTGTTACCGCTGGCCACGTTTTAGACGACGATGGGGACAAAATACATGCCGAAGATATTGCTAACGACTCTTTCGTCGTCTTGAAGACTGTCCCTAAATTCGAAAGAACTTTAGGTTACCCAGGGTTTCGTCGGAGCAGTCAGAGAAACCGTTGTCTCGACGAAATCTGTTTTTTGGAGGTACCTGAGAGTATCTCAGCCGGCCAGTTACCCTGTTGTCTTGGCGACGTTGATTGCATCGGACTGCCACTGTCAGAAGACCCCAGTGTACCGTCGCTATTCCCCGGGGATCTAGATCCAGAAGTGTTGAGACTATGGGTCGCAAGCTCAGACAGTGTCCGAGTTTTTAAGAATGGTTCCGGGACCGGCCGTACAACTGGGAAACTCGTACTCATATCCAAAGTCCGCACAGACGATCCTTCTCTCGACCAAACCACAGCGTATCAGATGCAGGTGAAGTGGACCGACCTGGCTATCCCATTCGCAGAGGGAGGTGACTCAGGCAGTCTCGTCTTTGCCACAGATGGCACAAAAATTATTCCGCTCGGTATCCATTTCGGATCGCGTGGAATTCACAGTTTTGCGTATATGCTCTATTCGTGGGTGTCAGAAGTTGAGCTTGAGTTTGATGTCGATGTCTATTTTTGCTCTACAGCAAACTGCACTCCAGGGTCACGGAATATGATTGTAATGTGTTAATGGTCCAATGTGCGCTGATTTTCCGAACTGCCTTCCTCTTGACCATGTCATTATTCTTAATGTTGTATATTCTTTTCTGCGGTGGATGAGCTCGTACTGTGGCGATTACTTTCGTCAAGGGGTTTTCATCCTGTATTCATATTGGAATGTGAAGTGTCGAGCAGTACTAAACAATAGACATAGATGTGAGTGAACACTCAAGCAAAACAGAAAAGAGCTTGATGTCTTGAGTTACTTACTATCTTATTTCTGATAGTGCTTTGCATTCAATGTATATTTGAAAGCTGTTCAGTCTTTCAAATTGACACCAGAAGTTATTTTTATGATTATTTTCTTTCATGACTGCCAGTGATGATGTCTCCCACAACCTGTCTCCAGGCCTGCTGGATCCATACGGCCGATCATACAGGCAGCTTGCTCTTGTATCTATTAGCAGGAATCTCTGTCAGCATGGAAAGAGTCTGATTTTAGATACTCAAAATAAGAGTGATGTGAGGGAACAGAAGTATCTAAAATAAAAGAACTCTCAATGATGAGTTCATATTGAAATCTCACTTGAATCAGTGACATCATCACTGGGGAGTGCAGTTTCACAAAAATAATATATCAGCAGAACCAAGTGCTTTCAGTGAAACTGAAAGAAAAGTATCTCACTTTCTGAATTCTAAATCTGATTACTCCATGCTGCATGATTTTTACAGTGTGATGCTTTCCTATTATGTTATTATTTGCAAACATATTATATTGATTGACACAAGTTTATATCAAAATGAACTCTTCTTTCAGTACTATCTTGTAAAATACCCTCACATCTTAGCTGCCAGCCTAAAACAATTATTCATTGTTTTTTTGCATATCTTTTATCACAATTAGTGATATTCCTGATACAGCTCTTGGTTCTGTGTTTTCAGAGATCACTGCTAAAAAAGGAGGCAAGGGCTCGCCACTTAATATTTGATTGAAGCCAACCCCTCAAGCCCCCCCTTCCATGTCATGTTCCTGTATCTGATCGCCCGCTATACTGGCCAATGACCTGGGTATCCTTCAGTTTATGCTTGAAAGTGGAAAATAGTTGCCAGTCTGGAATTGTTCAGCTGCAGCGCAGCATTGCAATAGCAAGGTGTTGGCGGGCTAGGAAGAGCAGAAGATGTTGGGGGTGTGAGAAAATGGCCATGAGAGAGTAAACAAAACTCAGGGAAGATTGCAAGATTACAGCAGGGAACAACAGAAAGTGGAAACAGTGGCTGATTTGGAATTATACAGCTGCGGCGCAGCACTGCATGCGAAGATGGGTGTTGGGGATTACAGCAAGGAAAGGGGGCACGGACCGTGCAAGAGTTAAAAAAATGACTTGAGGGAAGAGTAAGTAGAGAAGATGGGAGGTAAGAGTTGAAGCAGCGGGAGAAAGGCGGTTGATATAGTCGACAAAGCGGCAATACAGGCAGTTCCCCATGATACAGTATACCTCCATACTCTGTAAGATGGGGGTGTGGCCACTCAGAGCAACCCATTTTCATCACTGTTTTAAGCTCAATGCTGTCCACATGATGTGAAATCTACACTGCTTTTATTTCAGTAACACACCTCATATCTCTTGTCAGCAGCCATTTTCCACATACATACTCAGAAGACAGCAAGCCCCGGTGGCCGAATGGGTAATGCGGCTGCCAGGTAGCGCCTTGGCGTGGGGACCCAAGGTGTGTGGGTTCGAAACTCACAAAGGGACAACATTACATCCAGAGCCAACTTCTCAGCTTCTAAAATAAAGGGATGTGAATCTGTCAAGTAGGCATCTTTAAGCAGACCTACTATTTAATTTAGCTTATTGTTTTTGAGGTGGAAATCTGTATCATAAATATCAAATTTGTTATATTTTTGACATTGTTCAACATTAAACATTCCTTCTGTATAACCAATTCTTGTCTGTATTTAACATTACACAAGGACTCATCATAAGCACTGCTTGCATATCGGAAGAATAATAATAATAGTAAAGAAAGTAACAAAGACTGATACAATAACAGATTTCTCTTTATTAAAAATTCTTTCAACAGTAATATAGATCTTTCAATGCTGTGAAGTGCTAAATATATTCTTATCAATTTTATTGCATTCAAACAAATAATACATGCTGAGCTTCTTTATGAATTGCTTTCATATTGTTAGCAATTCAGTGTATTTATTTGATTTTTTCTGAAACAAAGTCTCTAACATCATCATTTGCTCTTTAAAACATATAAAAATCTATTTCAATATTAATCTCATTGTCCAATCTTCAATATCACTTTGATTAATTTATAGAATTGCAGTGAGACGACATTTTTTACAATTTTTAAAAATAATTTCATACATATAAAGAGGAATATCTTTGATAAATTTGAGACAACAGACACAGTTTTCTGATTTCAGATTGTGAATGTATCACTTTTCTTTCATTTATTCTTAGATTTTTTTACACTGCTTCATGATCATATTTTTTATAATATTTTCATTCATTACAGAATTAACTGCAACATTCTCTTCTTAAGACTGACTGTGTAATCATATATGAAATTGAGATTAAATTTTTCCTCAGTTTTATTATCAAATATCTTAGTTCTTGTGAGGGGTGATGACAGTATGAAGAGTGAATAATGGAAGATAGTAGATAATGTAGTGGATGATAATAACAATAGTAATTGTAATAATAATAATAGTGTAGTTGTAGCTAATTACTAAGAAGGAAAAAAAAGAGAAAGGAAGATGTGCAAAATATATACATTCATATAGAAATAGCAGTAGTGAGAACATAGTAGAAAAAGGTAAAAATAAACAAATATAATATTATAAGAAAACAATAAGCGAGTGAATTACAATTCTGATTTTATATATTGTTTATTAAACTAGTTACTTTACACTGTTTATATTATAACTTTGATTTTATTTCATTGTTTATAAAAAGTATTAAGTTCTGAACACTGTTCTTATCTTCATTTCTGAGTCACAGTTGCATTTGATTTTATTTTATAATATGATATTAAATGAAACTGTGACTTACTCATAATTATATAATTCATATATTATTACATCATATGGTGTCTAATTATGCAGTGAGCATTATCAAATATCATTATCTTTTTTAAAATGAACAACAGAATAAAAAAAAAAAAAAAACATCTGTAGATTTACTCAATGAAACGATGTCATGGCAAGTGAACGGCTGAAAGAAGCCAGTTTTGACGCCATTTTCGGCCGTTTACTTGCCAATCTATGCCGCCACGCACCTCCTCCCCAACATCCACGCGTCGAATCACAGCAACCTTTTGAAGGCGGACCTCTGCCAGCGATTTCTCCCACTCTCACCTGCACTTCCTGAGCAGGAGGGCCGCCTTTTTTCGACACCCTTTTTGTGCCGGGGACTCAAAATGGATCCTTTCTCCCCTGCCATCCATCTCTCTTCCCTCCAGGGGACGGAGATGGGCTTTCTTACTCTGATCGCGCTCCACATGTCTCTACAAGTAGCTGCAGGCAGCTCGTCGTTGTCTTTATTTTACTATAGAGGTCCGTAGCATTCTAGCATACTTCCTCCCTTCTCTTCCTGCCCTCCATCTTCGCCTGACGACGTCCTGAACCTTCCGTCGTGGACGGAAAGGCTCTCTGTGGCCTGAATGCCCAAAATGGCTGCGTTCGGTGAGGAAGAGACAGCGGGTCGGACTACACCGATGACTACACCAGTGATATTTTTTCAGACGACAGCGGTAATGACACTGACGGGACCGGCGATAGCGATGAGGGTGATGAAAGTGATGAGGAGTTTTGGGAAGAAGACAAGCTTCCTCCTCCCGAACACTATGAGGCCGAGGAGGCCAACCTTGACATCAAACAGCTCCGGCGGCGTCGCTTGAAGCAACAGACCATCAACGGGATAGATAGAGCCCGCGACCACTGGCACCAGTGAGTGTGATCCCCAGGTATACTGCAGGGCAAGCGCTGACCAGGAGGGACTCAGATACTGCAAATACATGAAGAGAGACGTGCTCCACGCCTATCGGGCACTCTCAATCCAATCCCTTAAGGGGTTCCTCAGTTGGGCCTGTGATCAGCGTCGTGGCAAGGGCGGAAGAAGGCGTCCGGGGATACAAGCGGTTAGCTCCTTGATAACATTCTGGAAGCAGTATTCGCAGGCCTACAAGCAAGACACCGGCAACGACATCGACCCCCTGATCATGGCACAATCACAGGATGTGAGTACTGCCTCCGATCTATCTCCCACCCCCTTTTTGAGTATATCCGTCGGTCTAAACCATCGCGGCAGGTGATCGCGCTCATCGCCGACGAGAAAAAGCTCAGCCGTAAGCCGAGGCCACCAGGGACCATGTACGTTGACGACCTTGCTGAGTACAACCGCGTGCTTCTGACGACTAATGAGATGGAGTTTCAGGTCGGCTGGGCGCGCATCCAGCTGATCCTCTACACCCAGCTCGCGGGCGTCACGGGAAATCGGCCAGATGCCTTGACCCAGCTTCGCTATTGTGACCTCGTGCTCACGCTAGTCCGAGACCCTCATTCCAGTACACCACGTCTGTGTGTGGGCTTGACCGCCCTCTTCACCAAGGAACACCTGGGCATGAAGGATGCGTAGGCTTTTACCCATGCTCTCTTGGTTCCCCCCGATCCAACTAACTCCTCGTTCAGTAACACATTTTGGCTTCCGGAGATCATCTACGACCCCACCCTGGTACTCAGTCCGCATGTCTTTCTTCTGGGGATGCTGTTCCACATCCAAGGGTTCAAGTCGCCGAGCATCAAAACCTCGGAGCAGCTGTACAGCCTGGGCATTCTGGACGGGCTCAATCAGCAGGAACTGCCCCTGCGGGATGATATGCTGGACAAGTTCGTCTTCTGCATGGTGGTCCGCGAGGGAGATGGCGTCCGGATCGCACATGAGAGACGGCTGACCACATCGTCGCTGCGAAATCGGATGAGAAAGGGCGGTGAGATCACGGGCTTTGATCAGGTCACAAAGCCGTATATCCTCCGTGACGGAGCCGCGAAGGCTTATAACGAGAGCCGTGAGTATCCATCTATCCTCCCGTTCTTCTGGTCGCTCCCCTCCCTATCCCACTTACCACTTCTGGAGTGGTGTGTTAATGTTGACGTTGTCGGATAGCGGATATAAGTGATTCCCTTCAAAACCTGATGCTCCAGCACGCCAGCATCGATACATTCGTCAAACACTATCTGGATCGAAACATCACCGCCGATGTTCTCAGCATCTACCGTGGCCTCGAGCCGCAGAAAGCGTTAATGAGGATGGTGTGCTCGATGAGCCGGTCCATCGACCCCCGCCGTCCATGGAAGCTGACGCCGGAGCAGTCGAGATCGGTGAACGACCTGCCCCACATCCTCAAGATCTCTCAGAGAGTTGAATATCTGAAGAAACGCCGTGACTCTGCTGCAAGCTGTCTCCATGGTAGGATCGGACAGAGGTACCGGCGGAAGGCCGAGGCCAACGACCGATGGGAGAAGAGGTACAGGCGCCTGGTTGAGGAGTACGAGAGATGGGACCAAAGGCATCACAAAGCCGTTCGCCGGCTCCGCGGTGCGAAGCAGCGCGCGAGGACGCTGCTCAAGCGTGAGATTCTGGAGCGGTACCGACAGGAACAGCCAGTGATCGACAGCGAGCGACAACTATCTGGAAAGGTGGTCGATGAGCACGTTAGAAGTGAACTGGAGCGGTACATGCCACCTGAGATGATGATAATGATTGACGCAGTTCTGACGTTGCCGCCAACCACTCCAGCGGCGGAACTACAACGGCGGATCAGGGCCATCCACGCGGTCTCTGCATACTGCGGTGTTGAGGAAGGCCCCATCTGCCGTCGGCGTGGCCGTGGCTCCGGCCCCAAGCCAACCACAGCAAAACCGACCGCCCACAAGGCAGAAGCGATTGGCCAACCATCATCAGACATGCTCCTGGAGTCAGCCGCTCGGGCGGTTCGGATGGAACCCCGACCCAAAATATGCTTTATCTGTCTGCAGAACACCAACCTCGTGCTGTCGGATCGGGTCTATTCATTCAGTGGACCGGGAGACCTCACCAAACATTTCCAGAGGCGGCATCTGGATAAGTTCCGGCCGCTGGATTGCAATATGTGCAACGTGAGGCTTGCAACTCTGAAAGAGCTTCTGGTCCATGCGGAAACTGCACACGGAACCGTTACACGTTCGCCCAAGTACAGGATGCTCGCACAATCCGGTGAACCCGGTGCCCCGACTGGCTGTCTGCCACCGAGCTCCCAACCATCTTGGTCCCCGCGTGGCAACCAGTGCGAGGAGGCCAATCATCAAGGTGGGAGTTCCATGTGTGCCTGGAAGCCCCCGCTCGTCTCACAGATCATTCGCAATTCCTCACGCCCCCACCTGCCTTTCCGTTTCCCTTTCACATTCAATTAAGGATAAACTATTGCCATTGCACAACCCTTTTTGGCTTCGGCACAAGCGGTTATATCCTGTTTCTTTGCTCCATCTTCGCAGCAATACCCGCTGGTCGGCATTGGCTCTATTTAAATATAATTGTTTTTCATTACTAGATATTTTTTATCGTTCAGCTCATTCAAAGATGTATGCAAATTTCTATCTGCTAATACCGTTGCAATTGCGACGCTCAACATTCTAGGATATTGGATAATTAGTAATTTCAGTAATAATGGCAATAATGGCAATTGCGATAGCGGTTGGTATCTCAAGCAATAATGATACCAGCTTCATATGTCGATTACATTCGTTTAACTGTACATCTCATATGAAAAAAGGTGCCTAGTAGCTCTTGATAACTCCAGTGATAACCTGGCGACAAGGGGAGCAGGTTCCACCAATGGGGGGAACACATTTCGGGCAATACCGATGTCCACACAGAAGGGTCCGCCACCCTGACGGGATGGTAAAACAGATCTGGCATCGACATTGATCTTTCAGCTCACGGACTTTGGTCTCAAGCTTGTCAACCCGTTCATCCTTCCTAGTCATTTCCGCACGCAGGCGCTGCACTTCTTTCTCCAGCGCCTCTCTCTGCGCATGCTCCGCCTTGAAAATGTTATGGATTTCCTGGTTCGCGGTTTCCTATCTCATTATCAGCCAAGAAGGAGCCCCGCCATGCAGGGAGGAGTCTTACCAATACCACGTCCAGGTTACGTCTTTTCGGTGGCTGGGACATTTCGGAGGGTGCCGGGTCGTCAAATTGAGCCCCATACATTGGATAGCAGTAGTCTGTGCGGAGTCTCTTTCTTCGTAGCTTTCGCGCTGGGGGCTGACGTTCATCCATCTCCGAATCTGAACTGATGATGACAGTGTGATGAAGCCCGTCGTGGGGAATATCAGCTGACGCCATGATTGAAAGATGGTGGAGCACCGCTGTCGGTCTTTTTATGTTCGCTCGGTCGTCCTCGAGTACGCAAGGGCCTCTCGGTGGTTGGTGTCTCGCGGCGGTGTAGGATGAGTCGAGATAATAAGGAGGAGGGAGGAACGGAAGGGCTTGAGGGGGAAACCACGCATATTTATACCCGGTAGGCACAGCCGCCTCACAGGACCATCCACGGCTGGTGGCAGCTGCAGGGGGTTGGCCGCAGGAAAGCTGAGCCGACGCCGTATATCGCCTGTCTTAGGGAAATCATGCCCCCAGGGAGAGCCATGTCCCCAGGGAGAGCAGTGTCCCCAGGGAGAGCGGTGTCCCCAGGGAGAGTAGTGTCCCCAGGGAGAGCAGTGTCTTCTTCTTCTTCTTCTTCTATTCAATTTAACGTCCGGCCCAGCCGCTTTCCGCAGCTATGCAGACGATGGGTATCTATAGCTAATATACATCATATAATACAGTCTAGATGGTAGCCAAGGTCCTCCAGTGGGTCCCCCTGACTCCTGTTTGTCCTATAAACCGAAAGAACTCAGTGCATGCCTTATCGTATTTTGTCCTCCGTAATTGCTCCATATTGCCCGAGGAGTCTAGTTAAGATCATAAATCTTGCAGCCTTCTTAGCTAGCTTAGGCGTGGTCAGGATCTCCTTGAGATCGAACCTATCCCTTCTTCCTTCCCCGTTTTCCCATGTTTCCGCTCTGAGGTTGTTAAACCTAGGGCACGCTAATAAGACGTGCCGTACTGTTTAATTTCCGCCACCGCATTCGCATAGGGTGTCAGTGATCTCTGGCACCTTTCTTTCATATAGGAATTGTCGTAGTCCAATCTTGCCGGTGCGCATCTGTACGATGGTGGAACTGAGGGCCTTGTGTAAGGAGTGGTGTAGATGGAGGACCGTAGGGCTTGGTGCGGGTGTGAGCGCGTAGGTGGCTCGCCCCGATGACTCGTTCTCCCAGTCCCGCTCCCACTGTACCTGGGTCTGGCGGTGAAGTTCCGACTTGGCTGCGGATATCAGGTGTCTTAGGAAGTCAGGTGTAGCTGCGGTATCGTCAGTGTCCACTGTGATCATCCTCCCTCTTCTGCCTCGTTGTTGTCTGCAGCCCGTCGCTTCCTTTGCGAGATTATCCGCCAATTCATTACCTTCGATTCCTTGGTGCGCCGGGATCCAGTAGAATTCCACCTGAAGGCCCTGGGAGCGGACCCTGTCTAGAGCATCTATGATCCTCCGAAGTATGGATTGACCGGATGATCTTCTGGGGTTTTGGAGAGCCTTTAGGGCTGCCTGGTTGTCCGTGAAGATTGCTGCTCTGCGTCGGTCCGACGCTAGGATTAGGTTTAGGCCCATGTGAATGCCAAGAAGCTCGGCTGCATACACGGTGGTAGACGTTTCCTTGCCGAGATAAGCGAGTTCTTGGGTGTGGATCGACGGCGCTAATGCAGCAGCCCCCACTTTCCCGTGTATGCCGCTACCGTCGGTGTAGACTGCCAGTGGTGGGTCGGCTCCGCTGATAATGTGTGTGTGCAGTCGTTCCGCCGCTTCTCGACCTTCCGTGATAGTGACCGTGGGCGCTCTCCACCACGGCTTTACCGGGAATGGGATCCGCGACTCCAGATGACTGACCGCTCCTTCTCCCAGTTTCATCACGAGGCTGTTGTAGAGGCGTGTTAGGGGGCTGGTGGGGGAGTCTCCGCGTATCGGTGGGGTCCATGCTGAGGTGCTGTTGTCGTCTTCGTTCTGGAACTGGCTGCCGGTGAGGATATTCAGTGCTGCGTGGTGTGCTCGCTCCTCCAGCTGCAGACGCAGAGGCGTCATGAAGAGCTCGACATCCAAGGCCGCGCCCGACGCTGCTCGGTATGCGCCTCCTACGATCCTCGCCCCTTCTCGTTGAATCCTGTCAAGGGTCGTGCGCATCTTTTCTGTGAGCCCTGCTTCGCCGCGCGGTGTATGCCACACGGAGCAGGCATATGTGATCTGTGGGACCACTATGGCCAGGTATGCCAGCCTTAGCGTGGCCAGCGCTGATCCCCACGTTGAACCTGCCAGGGACCTCAGGGCATTTAACGTCAGTGACGTTCTGCTTTCGATATGCTGTATCTGAGGGCCCCATCGTAGCTGCTGGTCCAACATGACGCCCAAGTAGCGGACCTCTTTCATCGGAGCAATCGTTAGGTCTGATATGGTCAAAGCCCGTTGTACATCGTGTCTCCTTGGATTTCGCGTGAGGTGGATGAGTTGGTATTTTTTGAGGTCGAATTTTGATCCGTGAGTGGCCGACCATGCCTCCGCTCGTCCATGCATTCTTGCTAACTTCCTACAGTTCTCGTCGGTGGTGCAGCTGCTGGTGAAGAAGTAGATGTCGTCGATCCAACCTCCGGCCGCTGCCCCGGTCACCCGGAGGGGCGCGTCTTCCAGGATGTCAGCGTTGTAGAAAAGGTAGAGCACTGGAGAGATCGGGGAACCCTGTGGGATCCCGGTCTCCACTTGGAGAGGTTCTGTTGTGTGCTCCCGTAGCTGTATAATAGTTGTCCTGTTTCGTAGAAAGCTCGCTACCCATCCCACTATCCTTTCGTCCATCCTTCTCTTGCGCAGGTTGTGCAGAAGCCTGGGGTGAGAGACATGGTCGAAGGCACCTGTTACATCCAGAAGGAGGAGACTGGCTACCTGATCGTTGTCCCAAGACTGATAGATCAGCTCCATCAGACCATGAAGCGCGTGTTCCGTCGACATTCCCTTTCTTCCCCCTAAGTGCGTGCGTGGGAGGAGCTGGTGTTCTTCGACCGCCTGAGAGATCCTTGTTGCCAGGATGGACTCCAAGGCTTTACCAAGGGTGTTCAGCAAGGCTATCGGGCGGTACGATTTCACCTCCGACCGGTCCTTTTTGTTGGGCTTGGGTAGCACCACCGTCTTGGATTGTCTGAAGTGCGCTGGGCAGTATTGTAGGTCCAGGGATGCGTTGTAGATCTGTAGTAGATGGGGTGTCAGGTAGAGGAGCAGTAGTTGTAGTATGTGTGCCGGGATGCCTTCCTGTCCCGGTGCTTTCTTGGCGGCCATGGATCCGATTGCTCGAGTTATCTCCTGTTCTGTGATAGGAGGAAAGGTAAGTTGGTCGCTGTACCTTTGGTTTTGCAGTGTCGGACAGATCCACATCAGGTTGGGGTGGGAAGAACGTCTCTTTGAATAAGTTTGCCTTGGCTTGGTGGTCGTGCTCCAGGTCGTTGTCGCTTCGGCGCAGAGGTGGCGTGAACGCCTGCCTTGTCCCTCGCCTGCCTTGTCCCTCGCCTGCGGGCCCATCTCGCCAGCCTCCATAGCCCGTGTGGTGAATCGCTCATCTCCCTGACCCTTGCTCGGTAAGCGTCGCGGAGTGTCTTTTTGATGAGTCTCCCTTTGTAGTTCCTGGCCTGGCAGTATGCCTCCCAATCGCTCTCGAGGCGCGTCCTCTGATATCGTCTTCGAAGGCGCCTCGCTGTCCTCTGTGCTTCCTTGCACTCCTGCGTCCACCCAGGGATCGAACGGTCGCTTGGTTTGGCCTTCGGTGTGGAGGCATCGATGGCCCTTGTAATGGCGTGAACTAGCCCTTGCACTCGGTGGTCCACCGACGCCTCTGAGTCCAAGACGGTCGGGTGGGGTAGGTTCCTCTGGAGTTCTAGCTCCAGTGTTTGTGTGTTCGTCCGTTGCCATTGCCATTGGTCGGGCGGGTCGCATGTTTCAACCGCTGTCATGATTGTTATGGCGATTGGTTGATGGTCCGATTGGTGGTCGAGATCTTCCCTGAGCCCGCAGTAGGCCTTCCTCTCGTGAATCCACGGTGTACCGAGAGCGAGATCGATCGTGGTTTGTCTATTGTGTTCATCGTACGTGACGGTGCCCTGTGGGATCAGGAGTTCCAGTTGTTGGTCGGCCATGAGTGTGACCAACTCCTCCGCCTCAGCGTCCCGGTCGCTGCCTGTGCCTCCCCAGAGTGGGTGGTGGAGGTTGAAGTCCCCAACCACGATTTGTTTCTCACTGTTGGCTTCGGTTATCGTTCTGCGCAGGAGGGGGATGGTGCTGTTCCCTGTGCTGGTCTCCGGATTGTAGAGGTTGTGGATATGGATTGTGTCCTCGGGCGCCTCGGTGCACTGGATGGAGACAGTGCAGAAGTCAGGAGAGGGGGTAGTTGCGGTCCATCTGCCGCGCGGTATTCTTCTGTTTATAAACATGCACGTCCTGGTGCCTGGGTCGTCCAAGTACACCAGATCGAAGGATTGAGGTCGTGGGTAGTGGGTTGTGTTGGTGAAATTGTTCCGCCACGGTTCTTGTATTGCAATCACGTCGAACTCCTTGATCCTCTCATCCCTCAGCAGGCTGGCCATGACCTTGTTCTTGGACTTCCTGACGTTGTACTGCAGTATGGATAGGCTGCTTGTACTACTCATCGTTCTGCGTCATTTCGAGGTCGGTCAGTGCGGGGTCTATGAGGGCTGGGTCTACAGGGGGTTGTTGGGATGCGGTTCTGGAGCGAGTCATTATCGGCGAATCTCTGTTCGGTGTGTATTCCTCGTTTTCAATTCTCATTTCTCTTTCCCGGTCCTCCATCGCTCTGTGCAGGCTCATTTTGTTCAGCACAAAGACTTCGGAATCTTCCTGCGTGAAGTTGTGAAATGTGGTCGATTGCGGGTTCCGTCTCGGTCGTGCGGTGGTACGTTCAGTCGGCTGGGCTTCCGCGGGACGTTTGCGTTGGTCCAGGGTTTGTCGTAGGGTACCGCCGGTGAACAGGGGTATGGTAGGGCGGGTGGCAGGCTGTGCCACCTTGCTTGTGGCGTCGGGTCTGATGTAGTACGAAGGTCGATTTCTCCTTGCTTGTTCAACCTTCGCTATCTCTGCTTGGCGGGTGAGGCAGTTGTTGCTCCACGCTGCGTGTGGCCCTTTGCAGAGTGCGCACTTAGGTGTAGAGTTTGGATCTTCTTCTCTCTTTCGGCAGTCCCTCGTGTTGTGGGGTTCTGCACAGTATCCGCATGTTTCATTGACGTTGCACTGAGTTCCAATGTGGCCGTATTTCTGACACTTGTAGCATTGCTTCAGCTTGCAGCTTCTGTCGTAGAGTTCACAGTGATGGTAGCAGGCATCCAGGACCAATCCCTCTCTGATCGCTCGGTCTGCATGTTCCTTGGTGGTGAATTCCAACACCAGTGACGAAGTCGGTTTCTTTGCTCCCGTCCTCGTGAGCCATCCTACGTAGGTGATCGTTGCTCCAGGGTGTAAAGTTGCATTCTCTGTTTGGATCTTCTCGATGGATCGTGACTGGTTGCTGGGGTCTATGTTCTCCTTATCCGTACAAACTGAGTGAACCAGGACCCCGTATGTGGGTTGGAGGGCCTTGGCCTCTCTGCCCAGGGCCTGTGTCCACTGTTGTTCTTCTCGCAGTTTGTTGGCGTCTTCGATGTTCACCGTGTGAATGGACACGTCTCCGCTCTTCAGTTGTTTGGCGGCTACCACCTGAATCGGTCGCTCCGTGCTGCGTGTTCGCTCCTTCAGTGCATTGTTGACTCTTTCGCGTAGCTCTCCCGGTGTCTTATCTCGCAGCAGTGCGGCCGCCTCGGGGTTGTGTAGTTTGACTATTATCTCCCTCTCCTTGCTGTTCGTTTGTGCGGGTGGAGGCGTTCTGGGCTGGGGGGGCGTGCCGCCAGACCTGACTCTGTCGGCCCAGGTTGGGTTTCTGGCTGTCGGGTGCGTTGCTGCATGGTTGACCGCGTTCTTGATGAGGGTGAGGTCGTCTGAGATGGTGGTCTTCGCGATGTGGTGGATCTGATTCAACTTATCGAGGATCTCGTGGGAGGATGGTGCGGCCCTGGATTTTTTGGCATAAGCCTGTACGCTGTTCAGAAAGGATTCTAATGATTGATCTGGTAGTTTTTGGCGTTGTCCTTTTTCTAGGGTTAGCAATGCTGTTGCCTCTGCTATGAGTTGCGTCGCGTGCTCATGCAGGTTTTGCGGCTGCACGCCCAACTGGGGCCACTTGGCCTTATTAGCCATGGCTCCGGGTATCGGGCCGTAGCCGAAAACCAGGCCAATAAGATGACGTCAGTTTAAGCTTAATTACGCGCGCGGTTGTGGTGAAATTTCAAAAATTAGATATGAGCAGTGTGTGGTTGTTGGAGAGCGGTGTCCCCAGGGAGAGCAGTGTCCCCAGGGAGAGTAGCGTCCCCAGGGAGAGTAGTGTCCCCAGGGAGAGCGGTGTCCCCAGGGCCACTTTTCCAAAAGGACCGCAGGTAACAATCGGCTCGCGCCCCAAGAACGGACCCATTGCGGCAGGGCAGTTTTGGAAATCCGTGCCACTCCTGAAGTGCGAGCTATATTTGCACCTCACGATTCTCCACTACTTCTCCGAGAGTTCCCAGCCCGGTCCCATTCAAAGCCAAATTCCATAACGCGCCTCAGATCATTTGACCATGCGCCGCTTGTTCTCCATATAGGCGCAGGCGAGTTGGGCCATGCAAAACCATCGCGGGCATCTCTACAGAAGGGAAGAGTGGGTGGTTCCGCACTCAAAACAACCCCGAGGCTTCTCCGCGTGGCGGATGTGCGGCGGCACGGGACATCGTCCCACCCCTTACGGGAAAACCTCATCGAGATTATTGTTGCCGTGGTCAGTGTCGCGGGTGCTTGCTGGGGAGGTGGTGTTGGGGGGGGGAGCGCCGATGGAGCCTTTGGTCTCCTTCCCCGGCGCTGTTCTCCCATGGACAGAGGTGAATCAGATGATCAGTATTCGGGTCTACAGCCAACCCCCTGCTGCCACAGGATGCATGGTCTAGTGATTGAGAGGCGGCTGTGCTTTCACTACGGGTATAAATATGCGTGGTTTCCCCCCTCAACTCTCTCCATTCCCCTTCTTTCTTATTATCTCGCTCGCACTTGCTCCTTACCTACTCTCTCTCGTCCTGACAGGATGACTAGAACCCGCAGACAAGCCATGGCCGCTGAAAAGGCCAATGCTCTTAACCTGCGTTCCAGAAAAGTCAACCGCGCACACGCATCCCATCGTTCCCCTATAGCTCGTTCTCGCCGCCATCATCTTACGCCCACAAGGCCACGAACTCACGGGGAGGGTGACAGCCGTAGCTCACCCAATCTGGTGGAGGATCAGGATCAACCTTCTCTTGATGACATGATGGAATCAGACATGCACCAATCTGTTAATGATAAGGGTAAGTGCTTGCAACTTCTCTCGCAAACATATCTAATAGGTGAGCAGATGAGGCAGATCCCGTGTGCAGTTCAGCCCAGGGACAAAGTTTGAGCATCCACGATGTGGCTCCCTGCTCTGATGGCAATGCGGAAGTTACTCTTGCCGACAGTGTAGCTTTGGCGATGGAAAACACATACGACGACAAATGGAACTACCACGGCCCCGTTGACCGTCGATACTGCGACATCCATGATGAAAATGAGTATCTATGTTGCTTCGACCCTACTTGGGTATCACCGTGGAACTTCGATGATCCAGAAGTGTCGAGCTCAAAACTGGAGGAGCTGTACAACATCAATCAGCAGAATCCGCAGGAACCATGGTCCTCGAGAGTTGAGTGCGATGTTCCTGAACTGCTGGACCATATTTCCTGTGTGACAGCGAGGGGAACAAGTGGAGGTATGAGCGTTTACTTTGCTCACTGGAAAGACCAATGGTTCCGGGAGAAGAATGTTGGAAAAAGAGAGTATGGATCATGGGAGCGAAGCTACAATATCAGTGGCGGTGATAAATATGAGATGGGTCAGATAAATTGAACATTTTGTCCCTTTTTCTTTCCTTGGTTCCTTCTGCAGTTGACAAGTGGAAGGTGGTGGCCTGCATATTGACGGGGTAAATGAAAGCTAGTAATTATAAATTTATTTCACAGCTCTTCTCTTGTCTGCATCCAATCCAAATCTCCTTGATCGCTCCAGACGGTTGACGGCCGTCTCAGCAGTAGAAAGGCAGAATGTTTTCGCATACCATGAATCGCGTTCGACATCGCTGGGGTCAAAGTATGTTCTTCAGAGCCTTCTGCACTTTTGTATTCCGATCACAATGCTCAACAAGCGGGTTCGTGAGCATCAAGGACTGGGCGTTCTCTCCCCGGGCAATAGTATCCGAAGTGGAATTTCCAAGTTCTGGAAATGTGTGTGCTGGCCAGGATAGATATAATGAAGAAGACAAAGTGAAGAAACCAAACATAGAAAACGAAAGCGCAAGCGTCGCTAGGGTTCTCCAAATCAAATGTTCCTTCTCAAGTGCGGATGGCCCGGCAACTATTTCATAGGCCTTGCAAGCTAGTACATGGACGGCCGGCCCTAAGCTCCCAACGTGGTTGATATTGAGCCCAAAATTGAGCTTTTTGGTCTTTGCCCAATGGGGACAGCACCAGCAGCTATTACAGAAAGACCAGGAGTATGCAAAGTGCAGCCAGGTGCGCGCGGAGACTTGAATCACTCTGGGAGAGCCTTGCAAACTCAAAACCAAAACTATGGAGATTCTTAATCTCTGACAGTGTGGCACGAAGAAAATGAAGAGAATGCAGACTTCAATTGTTACACAAATCCAAGCAGCTAACTAACTAGAAATAGAAAGGTTTCGTGAGATTTGGGCCATGTTGAATCAATGCTGACATAATCCACGTGACCTCGTTCGACGACATTCGTTATTCCAGTAAGCTGCCAACAGTTCCAACCCTCCATGCTCCTGCAAATCGTCCAATGTCATCTTGGCATACACCTCGTAACCCCCCGGAACTCGCCCTATATTTCGTTGAAGGGATGGAATGGCGACAAACTGATCAGAGTCGCTAGGCAGGTTGGGACTCATTGGCTCATCGATGATGATTGGGTCTTCTGCGAGAGTGAGTGAGGGGTGAGAAATGTTTTTCACAGAGCAGGTACTGAGTCTTACCAGCAGAACCCAAGCACTTCCACAGCTTTCCTTGTGTGCCATATCCGCGTGTTTCTTGTAAATCTATCCGCCCTACCATCTGGTACATCTCATCCCCGTCTCGCTTATACACCAGCTTCAGAATCTTCACCTGAGAAAGGGGCAAGATAATGTATTCCTGCTTATCCAGCGTCTCCCCCAACGCATCGCCTTCCCAATGGCCGGACACCAGGGGGATAATCTGCTCTGATCGGTGGACTTGGACGTTGGGTTCCTCGCCTGTGTGTGGGTCAGCCTTGACGGAACCATCGGAGTAATTCAACGGCTCCTTCAATGTGTTGCCTTCGCGATTGTCTGAGGCCAGGGGAGGGGTTGGCTCTCGTCGATTGGGTGGGTCATCAGCAACGTCGCTCGGGCTTGGGTGAGCCTCCTCGATGGGGTCGTCGGAAAAATCCGACAGTTGGAGTGACGGTGGGGTAAAATCGACAGGGGAGGAGTCGAACAGGATCCATTCGTCCCAGTTAATGTCATCGAGACCAGAGACGGTGGATGGCAGGGCAGAAAAATCAGCAAACGCCTCACTTGCTGCATCCTTAGAGAGGTCACCGGACGTAGAGAAGAGGGGCGCGGGCACGGGCATGGGCATTGGAAGGAGGTGCTGGGGCTCTTCGTCTGACCGAGGATCAGGAGGAGGTGCACTGTGTGCAGTTGAGGCGGGAGAATCGTCGGCAGGTCCAGGGGAGGTGTTATCGTACGTGACGGTAGCCATGTTGCGAGATGAGATGATGGGATGCTCTTCTCCCCTCGATCTCGATCCAGGAGGCCCTTGATGTCTTTATATGTCCCACGTTCAGTCCCCGCCTGCGAACAAAAATAGGTCGAGGCTAATCAAGAAGG